GTAAACGCTGTTTTAGGCAGAAGTTTAAAAAAATGCTACATGTTGCTGCTTATGGTCAACTTTTTGTATATGTAACATTTTATTTTGATTATTTGTAGCATAATCATATTTACACTGCTCAATACAGTGATAAAGTGGTGAAGTAGATACAGATTAGCAGATACTCTGCTGCTTGTTCCTTGCATTAAATTGTGTGCTTTTAAATGTTCAGACTTGTGCTTTATTTGTTGATCTAAATGTATAAATAAATGTTATAAGCTGTGATTAGCGTGGAAACCCTGTAAATTATGTATTTAAAACATGTTGTCTTGTGTATTCTCAGGTAAACGTGTGTGTCTTGGGGAGCAGCTGGCCAGGATGGAGTTATTCCTGTTTTTCACCTCCCTGCTGCAGAGGCTTTCAGTGTCTGCACCTGCTGGAGAGAAACCCAGTCTGGACTTCATTTTGGGAGCCACACGCTGTCCCAAACCTTATCGTCTGTGTGCTGTGCCACGTTAGAGCACGAGTTATCCTCAGCTGAGCATGTCTGTTTCTCTGCGCTCTCAATGACTGTCTTCTGCTATTGTTTTTGATGCAATGCATAAAGAATATCTGCTTTACTGTTCTCTCTGTCTATCTCTAGCGCTCTAGTGTAAGTAATTAATAAGTAATGTATATTTTAAATAGAATTTGAACGTATTTTAATTTTGCATGATTTTTCTGAATAAATATGGATTTACAAATAAAATAATCCTGATGCAATAAAATCCACGGACCATTACAACCTCTCAAGGGAATCACCAAAACGTCGTACTTATGATAATTTCTCTGCACATTGGATTTGTTGAACCTGTAAATAATTTATTTAGATATTATTACACATATAAAATACTTTTTTAAAATGATCACTTACCAAAAGAATGAAAATCTGAAAATAATAGCAGAAAACCAGCAAATCTTCACACAAGTCCATCTTTGAGATGATGGACTTTTGAAATTTTCTTCTTTTATCTATATCATTTTTTAAATGGTTCTCCGTGAGAGAAGTTAAACAGGTGAGATGCCTTCCTCACCTGTATAACTACTGGTCAGTGCA